CTATGTAACTCCATTTGTAATTATGTCGACCTTTACTCATGTAGAGAACGTTTTAAAATTAATATCAATGATTATTTTATTTTCAAATAATTTACACATATGTTGTTGTTATCCCGTGTGTATAAATATTATGACTTTTTTTAACCGACTTCCAAAAAAGGAGGAGGTTATCAGTTCGTCGGAATATTTTTTTTTTTTTTTTTTGTTTTATGTATGTTACCGCATAACTTTGGACCACGTCAATTCTTTTTGCATCGGAAAGGTAGTGTCTCAGAGGTGGTCCCATACTAATCTGGTTAAGATCCGATGAGCGGATCATGAGATATATATATATATATATTTTTTTTTATATGAGAGTTGAAGTCGGTTTTTTTTTTTTTTAAAATTACTAGTTGTATAACGTGTCATTTTTTTCCTGCTTATCTGTGAGGACAGTGTCCGGTAGATAATTAAACAAATAAACAAATAAAAAAAACGTTAACGCCCAGTATTTTATTTATTTATTTATGCAGCAACATTGTTAGGGACAAAAAAAATCCACTGGATAGCAGACGCTATGAAGAACTTTCTAACATCTCATTATTTCTGTCTGATTTCTACCAAAAAAGACGATTTCCATATTACATAAAAAATACTTTTACTTAAGAAATTTATATATATGTACTATTTTATATTTCAACTGGTTTTAGAGTAATGAACCTGGATAATATGAAGGCTACCAAAATAGTAGCACAAACAAAACAAAAGGCGAACATGTAAAACGACTCTTCGGTGAAAATATCCGTAAAAGCTGGTATATCCTGGTATATCTGCTCAATCACAGCTAATGTGCCCTTGTGTTTTTTCACCATTTTGTAAATTTTATCAAATGCAATTACTTCCTTTTGGAGCCTTTCTTGCCACCTGCAGCTAGTTTTTGTTTTTCAGCTTTAGTAGCTAGCTTCGACGTGATTTCCTCAACAGGTGCCAGTGCCGATACGTGCTTGTTAAGTAGCTGTAATAGTTCAAGCGTTGTAAGATTTTCACTGATAAACCGAATTTCTTTCACTTGCACCTTTTCTGCAAACAAGAGTATGTAAAACCTCCGGTTAATTTTTTTTTTAAGTCGAAATACACATATTTACATGCATACATATGTATGTATGTAATAAAGAATTGGCGAACATACCTTGTGCAGAGTCGATTAAAGAAAATTTCACCTGCGCTGGCTGACGGTTGCAAACAACGTCTGTTTTTAAGACGCAATTTGGATTTGTGAGAGATATTTTAGGTGCTGACAACAGCGATAAAAAATCCCTACATTAAAAGAAATATTTGGTTAACTATCCAGGACAATCAATCAATAAAATATACATTGAATTATCATATACATATATACATGCATGTTGTGTCTATTTATATGATGCAACTACATGACAGCATTGTTTCGCACTAATTAAATACATATGGTACACATATTTTAATAGGTATCACGAACTGCTATCTAAAATAGGAAAAACAAAGGCATCAAACTGACGCCGACACCGACAAAGATGTCCACGGAGCGTGAGCTTGCTCCGGGAGGACCATCGCAGCTCCACTCCTTACCTGTCCCTTACCCGGATTTGGGCGCTACACTGCAACTCAACACAGCGGTGCGAATAATTGGCAAGGTATATGGTAAGTAAATTTATATTATATTCTGAATAATTTGTAAATGTTTGCTAATTGCCTTGACAATCTTGATTGTTCACACAGTTGAGAATGTGCATGAAGAAACCAAAATTTCACTCGCTTGTTATAAAAATGTTTGAGATTATCCTTCTTACTGCGCATGCTACAACATCCAAGGGCTTTTCATTTTGACATAGTGGTCACTACCATATCGACCGCTTTTCTTGTACAATGTGCATGTATGTATATTACTTTTTACATTATTCCTACCTTGTGGGTCTCACATTTTCAGCGAAGGGATCAAACGTAACAGTTATTCTTTTTACACCTTTTAAGTTGACACTTTTTAATTGCTTGCTTATTGCTGCAATTAAGCCATTAGACCGTTTTAAAGCTCCACTAAAGTGTATGGACATGCTGTATTTAACTAAAAAAATACGATTTGCTTTTATTCCTGCTTTGACTTGTTATGTACTTTATTGCGAATCGGTTTGAC